GCTCATGCATCTGTCTGACACATGTAGTGGTAAGGCAGAGGTCTGATCACTCATGTTCATCTCTGCTCTATCCACACAAACAGGTCAGTAATCGGTGTTTAAGTGATTGGAGCAGCTGACTGGTCTGTTTTTTAGGTGACGCATCCACCTGGGATCTAGATTCTTCTTCTGTGGTGGAATCATGGAACTGGCCTATGTGTGTGAGTGGGAGAAGCGTCCGAAGAGCACGCACTGCCCTTCCATCCCGCTGGTCTGCTCCTGGTCCTGCAGGAACCTCGTGGCCTTCACCACAGACCTGAAGAGCGAGGACGACGACAAGAGTACACAAACACACACGCACACACACACAGGCGAACACACAAACACACGCTGAACTTGATGTTCTGTTTTCCAGATGTGAGTCACATGATCCATATCATCGACACTGAGCACCCCTGGGATGTTTTCTCCATCAACTCTGGACACACTGAGGTCATTTCCTGTCTGGAGTGGGACCAATCAGGTGAGACTTCAGTTAAATGTTTTGGAGATGAGCTCAGCTGATTGACTGACTGTTATTGGTCTGGAATCTGATTGGCTATAAGCTGTTCAGACTGTGCCAGCAGGAGAAGCTGCTGTTCTCCTGCTTTATGCAAGTACATGCTGCAGTGTCACGTTCTGCTGAGAGAGACAGGAAGTGACGTGTGTGTCTGTGTGTTTGTGCGTGCTGCAGGCTCACGGCTGCTGTCTGCAGACGGCGACGGGCAGATCAAATGCTGGTCGATGTCGGATCACCTGGTGAATAGCTGGGAGAGCGTCCTGTCGAGCTCGCTAGACGGAGACCCCATCATCGCTCTCAGCTGGCTGCACAATGGTGTCAAGCTGGCACTGCACGTGGAGATGGTAATAGCTGCCCACACATGTGCACACTACTGCTGGCTCGTTGCAGTGATAGCTCTGTGTCTTAACACTAACTGAGACCAGTTGAGTAAGCCCTGCCTCTTTTTCTCCTCTTGCTTCAGTCTGGCTCCACAAACTTCGGGGAGAAGTTCTCACGGGTGAAATTTTCACCGTCCCTAACGCTGTTTGGTGGTAAGCCGATGGAGGGCTGGCTGGCGGTGACGGTGAGTGGTTTGGTGACTGTGTCGCTGCTGAAGCCAGGCGGCGCTCTGCTGACGGCGAGCGAGAGCCTGTGCCGGCTGAGAGGGCGCGTGGCGTTGGCCGATATCGCCTTCACCGGAGGAGGGAACATTGTGGTGGCTGCCACAGATGGCAGCAGCTCCTCGCCTGTGCAGTTCTACAAGGTAAGGACGAAAGATGCTGGCGTTACCAAGGGGCTCTCACCTCTTATGCTAACCTGACATTTTACCTTTGTTTTTTTTCAGGTGGTGGTCAGTGTGGTGAGTGAGAAATGTCGCATTGACACTGAGCTGCTGCCCTCACTTTTCCTGCGCTGCACCACCGACCCGCTGAGGAGGGAGAAGTACCCCGCTGTCACCCACCTCAAGTTCCTGACCCGGGAGAACTCTGAGCAAGTAAGACCAGTGTGACCAGTCAAATCGCTAAGATCAGTGTGCACAGTCAGATCAATAAGACAAGTGTGACC